GTCTCTGAAAGAACGTTGGATAATACTATTAATAGTGATCATCTAAGTCATAGTTTGAGTTTTTCTCATTAGTTTTTTTTTTGTTCTGGTATTGTTGTTTTGATATTTAGTATGAAGACTTGGTTTAAGATAACTATTCTTTATCATAAGAAGAAGTATTCTTGTATCTTTAGTTGCCTTTAACTTGAAAAATGTTTGTAAATCAACCTTTTAAAAATATTTCAGTGGATTTAGAACAGTAGAGCACGCTTGAGTTCGATGTACCCACTAACCTACATTCTCTCATAGCCCGCTGATTCCCACATTTATGCTTCATACATATATGTAAACTTGCCTGGCTTTGTGCACCCTTAAATCTGAGATCTGCATATTGGATTTTCAAAGTGGGGAAAATATGAAGTTTTCCCAAATTTATTTATGAAGTTCATAGGAATCAAATTTAATTGTCTTTATCTAGGCTTCCTGCCCTTAAAGGGAATAATGGCCAGCAGAATATCCTAGTTAGTAAAATTTTGGTGCATGGCTGTAATCATAGAATGTAAACTGTTTACTTAGTTGTTTAGTTTACATGCAGGCTTTGTGTTTGTTTGACTTACAGTTTATTATAGAAAACATGGTGATTGGTGGTATAAAGCCAAGCTTGAAGCAGGTGGATTCACAGGAAAAGTATAAGCAGGGAGCCAATAAAAACATCAGAAGGAATAGAAATACATTCAGGTTTTCTTGTTCTGGAGCTAATGTGGCTGATTGGAAAGGAAGTGATTGCCTTGTTGAATCACAACGCTTCTGTGATTCACACTAACCTTCCTCTGGTGGGCAATTTCATTCTCACACTTGCAACTCCCAAGGAACTATATGGGTACACACTAGAGGATTTCCTGACCAAAGTTCATGTATGGTGTCATTTAAGTCAAAGCCCTGATTGCATTCTGTGCTGCCCCGAGTTAAATGACAGGAAAACGTGATACGTGGGGAAGGACAGAGGCAAGAGTTTCCTTCCCCAATTAAGTAAGAAGGAGCACAAAAAAAATGCATTAAGTGGGGCTGATTCTAAACATTGAACAGGGAATTCTAGGAAGCTGGAAACAAAAGTAGTGTATGGAAAGGACCAATTGGGCCAACCTTACTGATGTATTAGTTTATGTGTCATATCCAAATGCTTCCATATAGAACTATACTTCAAGTATATGTGTATACGCACCTGTCAGATTATTCACCTGAATGTAACAAACAGTTAAATACCAGTCATATTAAAACCTGTTGTGTGCCTATTGTGAAATGCCCTACTTTGAATTTCTCAATGGGTCTCTTAATTTTCCTGTGAGATAATTTTAGCTATATCCCCAAACATATTCTGAATGACTAGGGCACTTTTAGGAATTCATCCTGTTAGCAACCTACCTTCTGGTAATATACATTCTGCCCCCAAACCATCCCACTTTATGAAATCCTGATCTATCCAATGAAACATAAGCAAAGGAGCTAATGTTGAGATGAAGTTTGTTGTTGCAAAATTTGTAATAGCTCCCATGTGCTTTAGCATTTAAAGCACGCCTGCAGTATTTAGGCTATTGGCTTATCAGGGCAAGAGATGCCAATAAAAAGGAAGCATCCTTTAATATTTAGTGGTAGGTTCTTATTTGATTTGTAGGCTGATTTTTGTTATAGCAAGACATTGGCAAAGAGTATTAAGTTGTAAGTAATACATTATAAGTATTAGATTATCTCTTCACTATCTCGATAGTCTTGAGAACATAGTGACTTAATCCTGTAATTCTTAGTTGGAAACAAAGGTATACTCTAGAAAAGCAACCTCCGCCCCTCCCTGGGATGCCTAATCATCCTTATCTGGCTGTATTTTTCCCCCAGGTCACTTATCATAAACCACCTAATAAGCTATAAAATATACATACTTGGCTTTCATTCTTTTACTCACAGAATAGAAGGTCTGTGAGAGGAGCAATTTTTGAGTGTGTGTTATACTGAGATATTCACATAATAAACCCTCACTAAATATTGGTGGATTGAATGGATGTGTAACATCATATCAGCATAAAGAGACCCTGTACATGTTAATAATAATTTAAGCAAAAACATTAGCTAAATTCCATCCTGGGACCAACCAGTGAGGAAGCTTGGGTTTCAGTACTTCCTTTACTATACGGCAACTTTGGGAGGCTGAGAAAAATCGAGGTGCATCCAGTAACAAAAATTTGCTTTGCGTGTCTTTATGCCATGAGTGTCTTTTCTCTTTGCCCGTGTTTCTCCTTCAATTAAACATTCATTTCCCCTGTATTTTTGATTTGGCTGGTTCCTAATTACATTTCAAAACTTAAGTCAGGTAACACCTTCTCCAGGAAGTCTTCTTTAAAGTCCCCAGGGTCGGGTAGATGCTCCTGCTATCTGCTCAAATATGCTCCATCCTTTACCACAGTATTGCATCACACCAGACCATATGTGTTAGCTTCCTTGTTCTCTCAGCACACTGGGAGGCACTGCAGGCAGGGGCTACAGCTTTTAGTTTGTTTTTAAAGTCCAGATACAATGTTGGTTTCCTAGGAGACAGTCAATTAAAAGACAAAGGGAAAGGGGTCTAAAGGACAAGAGGGAGGAGGGGGAAGTAAGAATGAGTAATGAAGGGAGACAAAAAGGGGTTAACTCGTTGCTCATTTTAGTCAAGAAAGAATATCTAGACAGGGGATCTGGATATTACAGTAGATTTCCAAGGAAAGTTTATTAGCACAGGAATTAGGATAGTGTTATGAGAACCTCTGTATGCCAGGCATGATTCTGGGCATGGAGTAGGTCGCAGTAAACAGATAATGTTACTGCCCTCATGGAGCTTATATTTTAGTGGGAAGTATAATACTATACTAATACTATACTTATATATAGACAATAAGCAAATATAATACTATATAATACAATATATAACACAATGTAAATATAGTATAAAATACATATAAATGGTGGAAATACAAAAATTACATAAAATAATAAAATAAAGAAGAAAATAAAACACAATATAATAGAGAATTTGGCGATGTTTAAGGGGAATCAGTAGACTGCCTCTTTGATCAAGATCCTTCATAATTCTTTACTTGTTTAACTATTTGCCATATCCCAGAATGCAAAGTAGAAAATAAATTGCTCCGGGAGTGGCGTTTATAACTTGCATGTGTGCCTCAGCCCACACTGACTGTGGGAGGAACAATTTGCATAGGTTTTGAAACCCCAGGTAGACCTTTAAGGGGCCTATCTCCCGGTTGCATGCAGGTGCATGGAGCCCTATGGGGAGGCTTTGCAGTCTGGCAGGCCCCACTGTGCAGGCCTCCTTGCACAGCTGCGCAAAACCCTAATCCCTCAACAGACAAGAGTTCTTATCAACGAAATGAACTTCTCCAGGATTTGGTTCAACATGACTTAACTTTGTTTTGTTCTCCAAGGTCTTGATTAACCTGGTATTATTTACTAATAAGTCATTTTAGCAGACAAAGAATTTGGGTTTTTGAATTGGATTGGTGGAGTTTCCAGGATATGGGTGTGGGTATTGATTGATGCTGCTCTGGCAATATAATAAGGAATACACTACCATTTTTGTCTTAATGTAGGTGAATTATTCTTCCAGCAAATGGAAGAGTGTACTTAGAGTACCACAGTGCTTTGTGGTAGAGGACCAAAAAATAACAACCAAAAAACAATTACCATGAATGAGCTAGAATGGCTGTGTTACTGTGGTACATCAGACTTTGATTACATACTGTTAAGATTCATACCAGCCTGGTAGTTGTTGACAGATAAACTAACAAAAATAAAACTCATTTATTTTTTTCTTTATTGAGACCTCCAGGAAAAGCAGATTTTCAGTTCTTGTACTTTCTACTTTGATAGAACAGAGACTGATGGCGAAAATGTGCTGGTCCAGAAATAGGAATCAAACCTAGGTTCGCATCAAAATTCCATTTAGTCTTGGAAAAGGAACTGTTGTTTGGATTATTTTTGATTCTTAAACAAATGGTCTGTGGAACATCACAGTATACCTGGATATATAAACCCTTTCCCACGAGCGATACTTTCAAAATTATTGTTTTCAGTTCACAATGCTGTATTTCTTTTGTAGTATTTGCGGCACCTTGAATTATAATCAGAGTAGGTTGCATTCTACTGAATGCAAGTCACTAGCAAGAGACATACACAATTCAGACTGCAGGAAGTATGAAACTAGATTGAGAAATTGATAACAAATCTTTTTCTCTATAACAAAGTCATATTTGATGCTACAGTTTGGTGATTGAAATAAGGATAAAAGTTAGTGGGAAAAGTGAAGTGAAATTTTAGGTTGTTGAGATTGTGAATGTGAATTGAATAAAATTTCTGGCTAAGTCGTTTGTATGTTCCCTTCATGTTACTTAAGTTGACAAGTAACAAAAAAGACCTGTAAATCCCTTTCTCCCTCCTTCCTTCATCCTTCTTTTCTCAGTCTCTCTCCCTCCCTTCCTCACTCCCTCCCTTCTCTCTCTCTTGTTCCCTCTTTATTTTTATTCAACTATCAACATGGAAATACTGTGACAGTTTCTCATAATTAAGACAATAACTAAGTTAACTTCAGAATTCTGGGCAGAACAACATGTTATACTTAGTGAATGATATGCAACTGGTAAACAGAGCCATCTTACAACCCAACAACATCCATTCCTTGAGTATATCCTAAAAATACCTTTGCTTATTATTATTATTATTATTTTAAGGTCTACAGTCGATAATTTTCTCTTTAATTTTTTAGCAACAAAAAATAGTCCAAACTTGTTTCTCAAATTACCTTTTCTGACCTTTTGCAAGAAGATAATTACAAAAAAGGGAGGCCTGAAAGACTTGTAAAAAAAATTAAGCTTATAAAGTAGCTAAAATGGCCCTTCTGTGCTGGTGTCGATTTCAAAATTAACATTTTGGTTCATGTGCTTCTAATAATCACTGACCCTTACTTCATGTACTTTCCACAGGAAATGAATACAGCAGAAATTACTTTGACCCACTGATGGATGAGGAAATAAACCCAAGGCAGTGTGGGATGGAGGTCAGCAAAGAGGGTGAGCTAGAATTAAGTATGTAATTTTTGTGTCAGAATATTCTTTTCCATTCATGAAAATGAGGTGACAAAGATCACACATGCAGTTCCATTTAGATTTCGCAGCTTACAATTTAAATGGTAAGTTTTAACCACTAACAACATGATAGGCAGAGAAGGGAATTTTTGATCAAGGACAGCAGGCTCGTCAGATAGAAGAACCAGGAATTTGCTTTCAATTGATGCCATATTAAACAGTTTGGTGCCATTATAAGGCCATGTTATCCTGACAAGGACCATCATCATTTTGCAAATGCCATCTCTGCTCTCTGAGTTTAAAATGAGCATTCTTCAATAAAATTCATCTAGCATATGAGGTTTCCATATGCAGTGACTATTGGATTCCTTTCACTGAAGACAGGGAAATACCACTGAAGTTTTGAACCACAAAGGTGCGGTGATATGACGATTTCCTCTTCTATAACCTTGAGTCTAGTTTCAGTTGTAAAATAGCAATTCCAGGAAAAATTGTTCCTTATGTGCATATTGGATAGTTTGCCAAGTGCTCTGGGGTTTACAAAGGTTACTGAGATCATGAGAGTGACAAATGTTGCTTAGAGTCATTTCAATTCAGATCAGACACCACTGCTGGGCACCAGGCCCTGAATCTGCATTTTTGAGTGAAAGACTGGAGTAAATCCTCAGAAATAAAAGAGCTCAAGCACAGTGCAAAGATTATTTTAAAAGACAGTTTTCAATAAAAAAAACTTATGTTTACATGATGCAGAATCCATAGATATCATCGAAACTCATACATATATAAGGACTTATTCTCAGGACCACTTTAAACCAGTAGATCAAAATCAGGGTGAATTGGAAACTAGAAAATCTCAACCTTTTATTGACCCAAACACACTAAGGAGTATCAATCGAATTATCAGTTGAAGTCTGTTTCAATTTCTAGGACATCACAATATATAGTTGTATTTGGTCGAACTTTTGTAGAGACTAAAGCTGACTTAACAAGCTGTGGTGAAAGAATGAAGAATGGATCTAACCATGCGCAGGTACATTTTGTAAACCAAAATATTGTTTGTCACCTTTCCCCAGCCAGCATGTATTGCCCAGTTCCTGTGGTTAACGTGGGGTTTCCACATTTTAGAACAGATAGTTCCCCCTACATCTGCCAGAATCCAATTTTAAGTCTGCAATTAATGAAGTCTTTTTTTTCTTTTTCCTGGTCATCCAGGCTTGTGCAGTTACCATGTTTAGGGCAATAGACGTGGCTGATTAATACTAGATACTCTCCCACATCCTCTAGGGCAGAGGGCCGAAGACGATGCAGGGATGAAACAACAGTGTGGCTGGGGTGGCCCTGAGGAGGGCCAGACTGAGCAGAGGCGTGATGCGCAACATTTTGTGTGGCAGGATTTGAGGACACCCCAAAGGTCTGCTTGCACCATCTGTCTTCACTTTTGCTTAGCTCTGTTCTCATCTTTATTTATAATTTATACTGTACTTCCTTCCAAACTAGTTTGAGCCTACTTATAATGGAATAGAAAATGCATATGGTCAAAGCAAAGTTTGAATAAAGATGAAAAGGGGATTTGAGGACCCCTACAAAAGAAAGTAAATGTACAAGAAACAGAGGACAACATTATTCCTGTAATTAGGCACTCAATCTTACTTTGAGCTTCCTGGAAGTCAAGGTATAAAGGGAAATGGCATAGGTTAGATAGCTTTCAATGTTTCATAGAATTTTTGACTCTAATTCTGTGTAAGTAATCCATCACCACCATCACCATTTTTTTATGTTAAATCCTAGAAGGATAATATTTTTTCAATTTGTATATAGCACATATTATAAACATAGTGGACAGTTGCTTTATGTTTAGTTCCTAGTAAATGCTATTTATTTAATATGGAATATGAATCTGAGTGCTAGTATGTAGTAGCTGTACAACACTTCATTATTTTACAATTTTATATATGATTTTATGTGGGTAATGTTAGGATAGTGGATTATTCAGAGTTCTCCAAAGAGACAGAGCCCATAGGATCTCTCTCTTTCTACATATTATATAATACATATATATATATATGTGTGTGAGTATATGTGTGTGCGTGACATCACTGTTAACTTTTTTAATTGAAAATTTCAAACATACAGTGAAAACAGTGAAAATGGAGTTAATAGTATAAAAACTCATATATATATATATATGTATACACATACTATTAAGTGAGACAGAGAGAGAGAGAGGCTTATTTTAAGGAATTGGCTCATGGTATTGTGGGGGCTGGAGGGTCTCTCTGGATGGCAGGCTGGTGGGTGAAATAAGAGTTGAAGTTCAGGTGAGCATTGATGCTACTGTTTTGAGATTGAAGTCACCAGGGTGGCAGACTGGAAACAGGGATAATTTCCACGTTGCAGTATTGAGGAGAAGCACTTCTTTGGGAAACTGGTCTCTTAAGGCCTTCAGCTGATTGGATGAGACCCACCCACATCATGGAAAGCAATCTGCTTTCCTTAGAAGCTGGCACAGTGCTTGAACTCACATATAATGCTCAGTATTTATTTGCTGACATAAAAATCATAGGATACATGACATCTCATTTCCTGATGTCTCTCAGCATCTCTGCTACCTCTTCTCAAGCCCAAGTTAACATCAACTCCTGGATGGAATCTCTGAACTGCTTTTGTGCCCATCTTCTCCTGCTGCCCTTCATCCATTCCACACAACATCTTGCCATTCCCTCATTAACACGCTCCCATTGCTGTCTATCCTTTCAGGGTGAAGATCCACACACTGTCCTTCCTTCCTTGTTCACTGTGCTCCAGCCACACTGGACTCCTTTTCATTTCTCATATGCATGGAACTCCTTCTGCACACTGACCTGACACAGGTGCTGGGACAGCTTCCTTTCCCTCCTCACATGGGCAGCATCCTCTCTTCTCAAAGGTTCAACTTAAATATCAGTTCTCAACTCCCTTGAATAACTTAGATGACATTTCCCTGTATATTTCCTTTATCAAACTCTACAATGGTGGGCAAACTAGTTATCTCTGAAAGGTGTTTCTCCCCACCACACCATCTCCTGAACACAAAGATGGCAGAGATTTTGTTTACCTTGTTCACCTATGAACATCTTAAAGCCTAGTGCAGCAGCTGGCATAGAGCAGGAGTTGACTTGAGAAACACTGGTTGAGTTAATATATAAATGATTAAATGAATTGAAAGTACTAAACGTAGTAGCCAAGACACGGCAATGTTTCTGGAAGCAGTAGTTATCACGTACGCAACAAGTGTGTCGAGCTGCATAGAGTAACTGACCAACCAGTGTAAGTGGCCATTATTATTTCCATTTAGAAGATGAAAAAACAAGCTTGGAAAGATTTAGTGTTTTTCCTCGGACCACAGCCCTCTGGCAGCATGGGGTGGGGTTCAGGCACCTGCCTTTGGTACTGTCTGTGCTCTTCCCCCCAGGAGTGCCTGCCCTCCTTGCCTTCTCCACTTTTTCCTTTGAGGAAGACTTCTCAGTGGGAAAGGAAGAGGCTTAGTTGAAAATGTTGCATTGGAGTTTGAAAGGAATGTTCTCTTACCTTTCTTTTCTGTGTTACGCAAACTGTTTGACCCTTCAGGGTCTTGTTGGGGGGCGTCACTGAGGGCAGCTGCTGCCAGGCCTGCTCACCCATGGAGCCAGAACCTCTGAGCAGTTGTGGGCTACGTGTCTCTCATGCAGTTTCCTCTCATACAACCCATAAGAGCTGTCTATGAAAATGAAAAACTGGTTCAGAATGACAGAATCCAAAATATTGGAAAATTATGCATTTCATACAATTATTAAATACTTAACCTCAAACAAACAAATGGGGTGGCTACCATGTGCTGAGTGCCTGCTGTGTGCCAGCCACAAAGCTAGGTGCTTTATATGTGTTATCTTATTAATCCTCACAACCATCCCATTTTGGGGGCAAGCAGATTAAAGCTCAGGGCCTCCAAGAAGCTGCTCCGAGATCACAGAGCTGATGACTGACAGAGCTGTATGTGGAGACAGGGCTGACCGATACCAAGCCTGTGTGAGGCAGCCTCTCTTCTAAAGATGGTATCTGTCTGTTGATCCCATTTACCTCTTCCCTGTCTGCTTGTTTTCACATCCTAAATATATGTATATTTATTCTTGTCTGTGGCCCTCATTAATCTGTCAGGATTATCAGATCCTTATATTGGAGCTTTTATTGCCTCTGCAGAGAATTCTCCATCTATGCATCTGCTATTGCTCATTGTTAAGTCCCAAATAAGATACTTTTTTGAACCATATATCAGCTTTATAAGTTTTTTAGCTGTTCCCACCAAGTTATAAAGATTCAGGCAATGCTGGAATAAAAGTTCACGCTTCCCTAATGTACAATTTGCAAAATGTCTTCCAGGAATGGCCCCTCTCCCTTTTCTCCAAATGTTGGACTCGTAAGAGGTCTGTGCTGGGTCATGGCAGGAAAAGAACATTTGCAGGCCAACCTATTCTTGAAAACGTCATCTGCAGGGTTCAATGAACAGAAGCTACTAACTTCAAAGACCTTCTTATATTACACTTTCGAACCTTCCCTCTGGGTCCAGCAGCCTAGGCTTTCCTGTTTCGTTATTCCAAGTCCATGAGTGTAGGCTACGTTGGATTTTTTTCCAGCACTGATGTTTGAAAGATCTCAGGTACGGACAAAAAGAGGAAACTTAGACTTTTCCAGAGATTTTAACTTGGAGAGTGGGTATCCCAGAAGGCTCTTCTAGAATACTTGCTGGTAGAGTTTCAGATGTGAGTTGCAGGATTAACTGCCACTTTCAGAGTCGGCTCACATATGGAGTGCAGAGTGATACGTAATAGGAATATATGGGCCGTATTAATCACCACAGTAAGAGTGCACCACGGGTCAGTTAGTTCACTTGCCTCCTGTGGAAACCGGAATATGTTTGGTGTGTGTGCGTGTGCGTGTGCGTGTGCGTGCGTGTGTGTGTGTGTGTGTGT